ACAGGGTCAGATGCTTATTCACACAAGTATTTACACACAAAATAAAGTATACTAGCACTTGCACAGACAATGGCACAATCCTGCACACAGTTTAAGCACTCTGCACATTTGCTAATCCCACCCAGCTGGAAAACCTGCTCATTTGAATAACTAAAATCCTAAGATGATTAAAATATATTACCATGTCACAGAAATTCATACTGGTAATATTAAAGATGTATATATGCACATAAATTCCCCAAAGGCCCCCTGCGTTTTGATTAGCAGATGAGAGAAAAAACTGTAGGTAACAAGTAAAATGAATCAAAGGTGGAATTTTAAACAGCGTAAAGTTGTTATAAGAATACATTTGCACATCATTGCGGTATTTGTTCACAAGCGCACACTAAACTACCCGGGGCGGAGCAGAGTCTGCTGTCACATCTAACTTATCAAGTAGGAACGTGCCTCTCAGCCACTTGTTTCAGTTTTTCTATGGTAATAGAGGACATGAACTGAACTCTAGTTCTTCAGGGTGAAGGGCTTTTTTTATGCAAAGTCTGTGAATTGCACCACAGTTGTTCTTGATTGGAAACCAGCGCAAGGAAAATCTCACTTTGGTTTCAAGTTAACAATATTATCAGTGCACAGATTCGCTTTCATTACTTCCATGTCATTGAATTTCTTTGTAAGGAACACAGCATATTCTTCACTTTGCTGTGACATCGAATGCCACTCCAATACGCTTAGTTCATTAAAATGCCCTTTAAGCTCTTCTCTACAAAGAAGAACACTATTTAGACCTCACAGTTTAAGCTCACACATGACCGTGCTTGCTGTGATGCAAAGCCATGGTGTTTGTGCAGAGCCTCCTGTCATTACACTGTTGTAAGTACAGAAAAAGTATGTGCATTATGCTTGTCCTGCAGTTCATTGTGGCTCTTATATTTGCATGTTTTTTTTTTTTACAAGCATCCAAATTTTGTCTTATGAATCCAATAGGTGTTTGTTTAGTGCATGTTAATCATTTGCAGCTGGCTTTCCTTATCTTATTGTCATGGGTAATTGGTTATGCAGCACATGGAAACCAGAGACCTGCAGGCGACACAGAGGAAGAGGCACATTGGGATGGAAGAATCTGCGATCACTGAAGCGTGTCAAACATTTTTTTCCCCCTTTTCCCTCCTTTAAATTGCTATATCTTGTTTACCTATTAATTTCCCCTTCTCTGCAAACCCATCACAACCCTCCCAAGCATCTCTTTATATTTTACTTTTAAAAATGTGCAACTTGAATACGCCTTCATTCCATCTGTCTCAACTCTCCTTAATTTTCCTCTTTATTCTTACTCCTACTCAATCTGACAGCGAACCCATATCTCGATTAGACCTCTGGAAATGCCTTTGCAATTTCCTGGAAGATTATAGTGATGGATTTACACAATATCAATCAGAGCAAAGATGTGGCTCAAAATAGCCCTCTGCTACTGGCAAGAGATGTTTTGGAGCGGTGGTCAAAGCTCATATTTGCTCGACTACTTTCTTTGAGCACATAGTCGAAAATGGATGTTTTTTTTTTTTAATTATATGAAACAAGCTGTTACAGTGATTTTAAAAAAGCTAGTGGGCCTCCTGACAGCAGTTACCTCAAAGCAAGATGAGCCATTCCCTGGTGACTCTTCATCTAATTTGACTAGTATTTCTCTTGCTTCCTTCAACAAACTACTCTGAATGAGGTCACATTTCTCTGACCTCGGGGCATTATTACCCTGTAATCATGTGTTGCTCTGCATGGCTACATTTGTTATTTCTCGTTGACAGCCTAATGTTAGAAGAAAGCAATTTTACCTGATGGATGATCATAAGACTGGGAGAGGCTATATCAGCTTCATGCCTCCACCAGTGAATTATGCACAACAAAATCCCATAGATGCCTGAACCAGCTGCCCACAATACCTGGCTTCTCAAACCAGCTTTACACACTAGGTATTATTGCCAGAGGTGTGAGGACTTTTCGCCTTGTCAGAATGTGCATGAAGATCATTCATTACTGCGGTATTTGCTTGCCTTCTTAAATCAAATAGGGTGCCAGTCCTTACATTGCAATGTTGTCATGAAAAATTGTTGACTTATTTTTAAGCAGCATAGGTTGGACAACTGATTCATGGGTCTCGGGGCGTTCATGATCACACAAATCAATCGGCACTGCTCCTCTGGCCCGCACTTTGTCTGTTGGCAGCAATAGGGATAATGTGTCAAAGTGGGCCTCCTCCATCTTGTCACTTTAAGTGCAATCAATAATGCTTCCCCACCAACTGAACGCCTCTGAATATCAGCCCTCCCCTCGCCTCGTACTGGGCCGAGCATTTCAATCAATATTTGACTGGGGGGCTAAAACATCTGCAGGAGCAACAACAAAAAGCGAGGTAATATTAAATGCTTTACAATACATTGAAAATGACGCCACGCTCTGCAGGAGTGTTTCTGCAGGACTGGCAATGCGATGGAAACCAAAAAAATAAATGAAAAATTTAATTCTCTGTGACGGTTGTGTCTACAAACGTCATGTTTGTGTTGTGTGGATTTTTACATGGTTTAAGTCTCAGAGGAAAATGATTTCACAGCCTGTCATAATTAAACAATTAAACTGCTATTTAACTTCAACTCAATTTGGCAAATCAAACACTGCATCACAGCTCAATCACTGCTACAGCATAAGTGTGTGGAGAGGATGCTTTTTATCTTTAAACACAGTTTTGCAGCAGTGTTTTACAGTGTGAATGTGTTGTCCCCACAGCCTCATACATCACTGTAGAGAATTCTCAATGTATGGCTTGCCGTCGGCTTCCAGACGGGTCCAATCAATAAAAGCTAGCCTCTGGCCAACGTATCTGTAAATTAGTCTACCTAAAAAATTCAACAAGCCCATAGAGCGGTTAGATGTGTGCACATAGGTGCTTGGCCCTGGAAACGATTGTATTAATTGCCTCGGGATTATGAGACACAGACCTCCACTCTCTCATGCATATTTGACACTTCTAGCAGCGCTCTCAAGCCCCCGTTGCACCTAATGGATGGTGTTTGGCGCAGTGTTGCATATGTATTAGCTACCAACTTATAAGTGGGCATGTAGTGAGCACATCCCCATGCATGCCTATGTGTCTGTGCGAGTGTGTCTCTTCTGTTATCCTGAGCCGGGCAGGGTAAGTGCAGGGCTGGGTGCTGAGGTTGCTGGTTCCTAATTGGTATGACTGCTCCCACTACTCTTGTCCTCACAGTCTGGCACTACCCTTCTCTGTTAATCTGTGCCAAGGATTTGGCTCACTTGACACTCAACTGACCTGACAGTCCTTTGGGTGTCTGTTGCAAACAAATATACACACAAAAAAAAGAAATGGATGACTGTACAGACACTTAACTACAAGTACTCCTGCACAAAGAGACAAACTCTCATGCAAATGAGAGACACAGATATGCAGTCACTCAGACAAGTGCACGCACACATCAACGCAAAATCACAGTTCAAAGAGCCGCAACTCCATTTGAGATATGTTTCTGGACAGCATCACTATGATGTAGAGGGAGAGCTCTTGACAGTGTTGTTAGGGGAACGGCATCAAACAGTGGCGTGAGTATGTGTGAGTGCGTGCCGATGCCACATCTGCTGATAATGTCCGCACGCAGCCCTCGAATGAGAAGTGAGCTTGTTGATATCAAGTACTTGCACATAGCTATACATGGTGTCCTTTTTGTCTGAAGAGCTCATCTTGGCACGGCAGACTGACATCTGATCTGATGGCTTTTGAAACTTCTGAACATGACGCACAGCCTCGGAAACATGTTCTTGTCTAGTCACATATGCAAATATTTTATTAAGGGAGACTGACAGGGAAAACACGCTACACAATTATAGAAGGTCTTCAAACACAGGGTATTAAATGAGTGTCACTGATGAAGCCATAGCTACAGCCTCTGATCACAGGAAAAGCAGGGGTGAACTGCATTGCGAGAAGTCAACAAAGCTGAAAGTTTGTAGTTTAGCAGCTGTAAAACAAATAAGCAGTCTTAACACGACCAGAGGTGTCAAAGCTCTTCATATGAATCTGCGTTAAGTAACAGTCACTTATCTGAAAAGGCAAGGGAACAACACAAAAAAGACATAGTAATGACTTATGTTGTTATAAGTAAAGTTATAAGATATTTACAGAGCAGACAATGAACAAATCAGCAGTGTTCTTTCAAACTCTCGAGGAAACTTTATATTAACCGTTGCTAAACATTTCTGTCAGCTGTTCAGTGTTAATGTGTGATTTATCAAGTTATTTCTAAAAAAAATATCATTTGCTGCTGGAAATGAAGCTGATAAGAGCACCGAAACTAAACAAAACCAGTAAAGTCAAATGTCATAAAACCAAAAAAGTGAACTGATCAGGTTTAAACCTTAATTAGATTACAGATATATATAAATGGTAGGATATAGAGCTGGTATCTTAAAAAAACAAACAAAAAAAAAACAACTTTAGCTCAACTGGACTGCTTTTAAATTCATAAATACTACCAAAAACGGTGTCAGTTTAGTACGTGGTACCATGATTGAAAACTTACCTGTGATTCTCTGAATTTTCTTTGCTCTGTGTACAGACCCTTTGCTCAAGGGTCTGTACACAGACAGGGTGAGCTCTCCTCTTTAGCTCAAGAGCTCATATGTAACTCTGGTAATGCTCTTGGAAAGTAAGGAAAAATGTCACATATACACTTTAATAATGCTTCAAGGGTAGTCTGTGCATTACGCTAGCTCAGAAATTCAGCGCACAAAAATGTAGGTTATTAAAAAAACAGACGTGAGTTTAAAGAGCGGGAGAGATATTTCACTACAATAGTCGAACAGATAGGTCATAATTTGGAAATGATTCGTTTTGAAAATCAGAACTGAGGATGAGTTAATCTCTCGTGGGGTTTGACTTGGTCTGAGTAATAAGTGAACTTTCTCTCACTGCAGAGTCAGAGCGCATCCGTACTTACAGCAAGTGTTAAGCAGTCCGTTGGGCTTTCTCGTGTTCGGTTGACATATTCTGAGTGTCCATTTAGTGTAGCACCAGAGAAGCTTGGTTGATCAGGCTCCAGCTTGATGGTTAATAGCCATGGCCACTGCACAAAAAGAAAGATGACACAGAATGAGCAATAGAAAGCCTCCCAACTTAAGATATAATAGAACACAAAACCTAAATAAAGTGAAAGATGTGCATGTACAGTATCTTCACATAAATTCCTAAATCCATCCTCAGTTCCATTTCTGACATTTCTTTTTAAATCACATTAAACCTCTATTTTCAATAAATTACTGTCACTCCCTGTTTATAATTGTAAAGACCATTTTATCATTTTAATAGTACAAATAAATTAAAAAATAAGCAAACTTTTAAAAAATATTAACAAAGGAAGAAGTGAACTACAGAAATCAACAACTATTCTGATATGGTCTTTATTATTGGCGAATATAGTGTTGCAGTGCTTTTTTTTCCCGTGAATGTTCACAAGGAATCTTGGAGATAAGTCGTGCCTAAAAAAATGCAGTGATTTCAGTGGACTTAATGCTGTCAGGAGCACAATCATCATATTGCTGCACCCGTATTTTCTAAAATAGCCATTCTAATGAGAATGTCCCGTCTGTGCAATCAAGCACTCTGCTTGCTTCTCGGCAGGACACTACCTCTCATCTGAACACATGCACACACATTTGGGGATGGGACTGATGCAGGCATTTCTTTGTCTTCATTTTGTCATTGTTTTGGAGTGGAGGCTGGTGATGGCGTAATGTACAGCTTGTTAATTGTAACCATGAATCCAAAAATCAAACTAAAGTTTCTGCTAGGACTTAAACAAGCTTTAGCTCACAACCCAGCACTTCTTCAAGTCTCTGTCCTAAGACAGTGGTGCTGTTTCAAGGGCAGAAAAGTGTCATAGACCACTTTGTAAATTATACAGTACTCAGTCCCAGGAGACCTATAATCCTCATTATCCATAATGTATACATCCAGCATGAGAACCAAAGAAAATGACGATGGTTCTGACTGCTTCTGATGTAAATGACTGTGGCCTGAGTTCACTATATGTTCGCACCCTCAGCCGCAGCCCTCTGAGACCATTATCCCAGAGTGCTGAAGCACTCTCACCCATATGGACACTAACAGGCACATGTCATGTGTGTAAATTTTACACAGAACTCTTCACAGGAACCCAGGCAGTTTCAAAATCTCTCTAACAAAGACTTGTACACTTCATGGAAATAACAGCTGCTGCTTGTGTCTTTAGTATATGAAGGGCAAGCATGTAAAAAATAGATAAAGAAAATACCTTCTTTTGAACTGTGGATGAGCAATAACCTTAGTGTAAGACGCAAGGGGAGGGGAAGACACGAGCAGGTGATAATAGGATAAATCCTGAGCCCTGAGGCCACAGTGTTTAGTACACTAAGTCTGTGTTGCTGAAAAGATGTAGCGTCATGATAACAACTTGTGTTTATGGAACGTCGCTGCAGAGACGCATTACTGTCTGCACCGTGTCAGTCATGTTTTGACTAATCACAAAACAGAAGATGGCAGAGAAATCATAGGACCCCCACGTTCAGCAGAATCCAGGCACCAGCAGGGCTTTTCGTTGGATGGAAAGATTTCGGGAACGCTGGAGGGTGAAACATGCTGAGGCTGGGTGACACACCACTGTTGTCTCAAACAGTTGAAACCAAATTATTTCCCCGTGGTGAAAAACTGCCTAACGATTCTTGTCTCTGGTGCTCTAATTCATTTATTATGCTAATAGGAAAAGCCTTTAGTCTGATCAGACATTGCATAAACTTAAGTGCGCTTCAGTGTTCTCTAATCATGTAGGAAAATGATTTGAAGGCTCCTAGCAATTTTGCTGCATTATAACATGATGGAAATTATTCACAAAATTGTCAGATGATAAGGGTTTTAAATATCTAATAGGCAGCTTTGGACGGCGATTGCAATCTTCCTGGCCAGCAGCCATTTTAATCATTCATCAACAAATCTGAGAATTCTGAATAAACGCTCTGTAAGGCTAAACGTGCATAGCTGAGACTGGCTCACGGTAGTCTGGCATGACCTAAGTTCTTTTCTGCTGCAAGCAGTGGGCTTACTGTATATGTCAGTAAAAAAGGCCATCAAGGTTATAAAAATGCAGTGGAGGTTCTCCCCTGGCATATGACGCAGGCAGCTGTCTTTACCCACACTCTATCACCTTAATCTCCCAAGAACTACTTCAGCCTCTGGGGAGGAGGAACTCTGATTTAATAGAGTGACCAACCTGTCTAGCAGACTGTCATCACTGAGGAGAACTAAACATTTGGTGAAGAGCACACTTCCTGACTTGCTTCTACACTGGGTGGACTGTAACATCCTGACACTTGTCTAAGCCCTGCAAAGATGCAGGAAAAAAATGTTGTTGTGTGGTTAGCGAGTATGTTTGGGTAGCTGCACGAATGTCACAAACCAATATTTTATGGTTGGAAGCTTCAAACTTAATTTTATTTGTGTCATTGTGTGGATGATCTAATTTTAGTCTTTATGTAAGGCAAGAAGGCAAGGCTGTCTACTAATGACATTTACATCTGATTACGCAACAAAGGATTTCAGATGGTGGTGTCTATTCTTGAAATATAGCTACACCAGTCAATCACATCAAAACCACCCATTGCATAAGTACCTGGCCAATTACAGTCTGTACAGGACTGTGCAGGGGTGTCATTTCCTGTAACTGTGACACCTGCAGCGGATCCTTTGGGAATTGTGAAAGGGTTTTATTGCCAGATATGCATTAGATGTTCATTTGGTGTCAGTGCCTTGGCAGTAGTGAGATGGGTCTGCAACTACCAAGTGCTACTTACAGAAGCTTGCCTCAGTTTTGCCATTTTTCTTCATGCAGCATTAGTGTTGTAAGGGGGCACATTTTAAGATAAAGCAATTAGACCAAGCCAACACCTCGGGCTCTTTGTGTTCCTGTTGCTCTTTCTGTTTCCTGTTCCTTTGTGTTCTTCTGAAGTTTTGGCGTAATGGCAACGTGTGTTGTCTTACTAATAAAGAGATCACAATTGTTTTTAGTGGTAAGTGTTCATTTTTAGTATTTGTCTCTATTTTATTTTATTTTATTTTAAGAATACCATTTTTGGTTATTGTTCAGATAACTTCCAGGTTGTGGCACGGAATGGTGTATTTAGCAAAATACCCAGTTACTCGATATAGAAAGTATATATTTACCGGTTGCACCATAGGTGTAAAGCAGCGGTCCCCAACCCCCGGGCCTCGGACCGGTACCGGTCCGTGAGTTGTTTGGTACCGGGC